ATTTGATTAAAAATATTTATATTTTTAAAAAAAATAAGCATTTAAATGCTACATTTTGGGCCATGCAGGCAATGATACTGGGCACTGTACTTTAAATCCGACTTTCAATGCATCAAAGGGCCAGACATTTGTATGTATGTATGTATAATCTACACATCAGAAGGCCAATTCTTTGGCAACCTGAGTTTCCGACAATTGTTTAACCACTATAATGCTATTATTTACTGCCGGTTTGGTTTAAAATTTTACCCAAACAGTCAATTTTTGTGATAATTGATTATTGAGGCAATTAATTGATTTTATCATAAGCTAAGGGAAGCTGCTTCTAGAATCGCAAATGCAATTTGGAATCAAAAAGATCAATCAAAAAAGATCTGTCTCAATTAGAATTTCGAACAAGAAATCTGTCTCAATTATTTTATTTAAATAAATAATTAGTTAATTACATACATCAATTAAAAAATTAATTCTGATTAAATTATAGTAATTTATTCATCTAAATTATCCAAACATATGTTAAAATAATTTTAAAAAAAAATATATAAATAAATTGCATTAAAATATAATCAATTATAATTAAAATTAATTATATTAATTAATTAATTTATAAATAATTACTATTCAATTAAAATTCAAACGAACCCTTAGTAATAAATTTTCACTATTTTGCATCCTATTCCCATTTAGATAAGCTTTTGGACCAAAGGCTCCCTAAAACATGTGGACACCAGCTTTTTTATTGTTTATAAAAGCAATTGTTTTACTTAGTCCTTTAGCTCTTTTAATCACAATAAAGATAAAAGTTGAAAATAATGGTTTTGGCAGCCCTGTTCGCTTGTCTTGGCACAAAGGACAACGATCCCCCAGAAACTTTTTTTATTATTATTTTAAATAAAAGCCTATAACTTGGTCAGGCAATCATGTTGTTTATTTAAAAGGAGAATTTGATTGAGGATCAAGGGAGCAATAAATCTTCAGATAGCTTTCAAAAAATTTAAAATATTAATTCAATTTTATGGGATCAAATTAAAAATAAGTTAAAAATAAAAAAATTAAAATATTCTCAATTCAAATATTTAAAAATAAACCATTAGCCACTGTCGTCGGTGATTGGAGCTTTGCTGGCAACAGTAACAACTGGACCACCATCGCTGAAGCTCTGACCATCGGCTGGACCACCATCGCAGGAGCTCCGGCCGCCAGCTGAACCACCATCAACGGTGGCTGAAGAATTATGAAGAATTAATTTCTCCAAAGGTGGCTAAAGTGGGTATAAAACCCAAGACCTCTTAATTCACTAAAAAGTTTTGAACCACCAACCCATTCAACCCATTTATTTATATAATGCATAAAATTATATGTATAATAAACCTTGTTTCCAAACTACTTGATTATTACATTACTTGTTAATTGCGTAACTTTACTTGTTAATTTTAACAGAATTTGTTAATTACTTAACTTTCCTCGTTAACCCCACGATTTTTGAAGCAGAAATAAATTACTTATTAATCGTGTAACTATATTTATTGATACCTTAACAGGACTTATCAATTACTTAACTCTTCTTGGTAAGTCCGTGACTCCTACAACAAAGCTACATTACTTGTTAATCGCGTAACTATTGTTGTTAATACCTTAATAGAACTTGTTAATTACATGAATTTACTTGTCAAATCCATGACTCCTTCAACTAAACTGCATTACTTATTAATCATGTAACTTTACTTATTAATTAAGCAACAATACTTGTTAATTACATAGCTTGACTTGTTAATACCATAACAATAGTTGTTTAACTGTTGTTTCAAAAAAGCAACCAAATTACTTGTTAATATTTGTTAATTCCTCAACAATACTTGTTAATTATCTATTATCACTTGTCAAATGAATATATAATTTACATAAAAAATTGAATTTGTCAGATAATGAAAGTGATGACAATTGGGTCTCCCTTATCAGTGTTAAGCATACTTGTTAAAATATATAAGGCTTTAATTGTATAAGATTTTTCAAATTTCTAATTTGATGAATTATATACAATTTTATACATTATATGATTGAATGAATTGAGTGGCTTGGTAGTCTAAAAGCTTTTGGTGAGCCAAGGAGTCTTGGATTCTACACCCACCTTAACTACTTTTGGAAAAATTAAATGGCTGTTTGAAACTATTTGAAACTATTTTTATTTTATTTTTCTGAGAATTGGTGTTTTGTAGACCATGTTTTGAGAACAAAAAAATAATGAAAATAGGTATCTTTTCTATTCTTTCTTATTCTCCAGAACAATAATCACAAAACATCTAAAAGTTATTTTTATTTTCTATTCTTTAAAATAATATTTTATTTTTTTGTTCTTCAAAACACTTTTTAAAAATATGTTACGAAACAAATTTTTTTGTTCTCTTGTTCTAGAGAACAGCAAAATATTTTTAGAATAGGTTTTCAAATAGGCCCTAATTCTCCATAATTCTCTAGCCACTGTCGATGGTGGTCCAACCAGTGAGTGGAGCTCCGGCAATGGTGGTCCAGTGGCTATCATTGCCAGCGAAGCTCTGGTCACTAGCGACGATGACTAGTGTTTTTTTTTTAAATATTTGAACTGAAGGTATTTTGATCTTTTCTACTTTCAACTTATTTTTAATTTAGTTCCATAGGACTAAACTAATATTTTAGAATTCTTTAGTAGCCACTTGAAGATATGTTGCTTCCTTAATCCTTAAATAAAATTCTCTCTTATTTAAATCCATGAACCTCTCACAAACCTCCATTCACACTTTTGAATCCACATTCCATACTCATCAATGCTCATCACTCTCAAAGTAATCTTCCCTTCATTTTATCTCAAAATAATCTCTATCATTGATTTTAAATTAATTTTTAAATATTTTAAATATTATATTTGTGATAATAAAAATTATAAAAAATTATTAGTAAATATTGAGTTTATAAAATATATCTAGATAATCAATTTATAAAAAATAAAAAAAAATTTAATATTAAATTAAATTATTTAAATTATATATAGACTGTGCAGAATATATTTGGATGGTCAATTTATAAAAGATATAAAAATATTATATTAAATTAGACTATTCAAATTAAATTTGTACTAATAAAATCAACAATATTTATTATCAACAGATTTATTAAAAAATTGATCTTTTTATGCATTTTTATTTTGATAAATATAAAATAAAAATAAAAATTTAAATCTAAGTTATCCAAATTTTGGTAGAAGTGATTTGTGTGATAGTCCTCATCATGTAATACGCGCCAAAAGTATTCTAGATTTAACATTAAAATTTTTTATAATTTTTATTTTCACAAATATAATATTTAAAATATTTAAAAATTAATTTAAAATTAACAATAGAGATTATTTTAAGATAAAATGAAGGGCCAAGATCACTCCTTGAGGGTGATGAGCACTGAATGTGGATCCTCATACTTCTACCTTCACATATTTGGGGGGAAAAATATTGTACGTGTTAGTTTCCAATAATGGGTTCACATGAGCTATGGACAATGTTTAAACAGGTAAAACTAACTAAAACACTAGCTTGGCTTATCATGTAACATGTTAAAGTGTGAGCGTCACTCAGAAATTGAGAGATTTAAAAATTCACATATGATATTATGTTAAAAAAGCAAAAATGTCCCGAAATTTATTTATAAGAGGTGCTTAGTATTTTAAATTTTTTTTAGAACAATATCATTCTAAACAAGATCACGGTGAGTTCTGCACTTCTATTACACGACAAGAGAGATAGAATTCAAACTAGGAAAGTCAAGAGCCCAGGAGAGCGACAACGGTAGAACGGGTAGCGATGATGGTTGATGACTGATAGGGGGTTCAATTTGATTTAGGGCTAAGGATGAGTCTTCAGAGCTAGTAGGGGTGGGGTTTGATCGATTGATTTTTTGAATTCAAAAACAAAACCAACGGAGCTTCTTTGCTCTTTTGCTTTTTCAATTTTTTCTTTTTTAAAAAAACTCCCAAAACAACATAATTTGGGGATTTTGAAGGCCAAAATAAGAATTTTTGGAATTTTTGAAGGCAAAATATGTGACCCAATTGACCTAGCTAATCCATTGGGTTATCCAGTTTACATTGAGTTGATCTCAGGTTGGCCAAGTCATATCGGGCTACTTGCTAACTGGGTCTGGATGAAAATTGAACCGGTAGAAAGGTTAGGTCACCGGTTCACGGGTTGATCCAGCCAGTCGGTCTGATTTTCCATATAATGAAAAAAGAGAAAAACGTGTATGGGAAGATGGGATGTTCTGACCGCAAAACTAACATCTCGTTTGAATAAAAAAATAATAAATTTATTGTAATTTGTACTCATGGTTTGAAATTTGAATACCATTATTGCATTATTCATTTCATTTATTTCTTCACTTCTTCATCTTTCCTTTGGTTTAGCTTCTTTGTCTTGCGAGCACAGCCCCACTAGCATGAGACAATGACTATGGTGAGCAACAAACAACAATAATAAAGCTGGTGGTGAAGCAAAGTTGCCCACGAAACCCATGCAAGCTCGAGAAGGTCAAAGACGAGACCCACAATTGAAGGACACACGGAGTTTGTAGATGAAAATGTCGAAGGTCTGTTTTGTCCTTTTTGAGTGGATCATGGGTAAGAGATCAAAGCCAAGAGGCAACTAGCAAGAGGCTTCTATAATTTTTTTTCTCTTATTTCATGTAATCCGATCAACCTGCCTAACTCATAGAGTTGGACGAGCTAATCTGAATTAATCTTGAGTTACCTGGGTTAACTTGAATTGATTAATATCCAAATAAAGTGAAAAATTAGATTGAACACATTGCTGGTTCATCAGTTTGCCCAGCCAGTCTCATCCGATTTTACAAACCATGGTTAAACTTAAAAAAGAGTGTAATTTCACCTTAATGTGAGCTCTAAAATATGTTGACTGTCAATTTTTTTTTGACAAAAATATTGACACGTAGCAAGTTTCTATTGGTCCTATTTTCTCAAGGCTCTTCCTACTGTTCATGTCGCCTCTCAATCCCTTTTAACCACCACCTTTGTGATTCATCTTCGCGTAAGTAGTGTTGATCCCTCTCTTCTCAGCTCACATCCTATTTCCTGCAAGAAATTAAGGCATGCATCCACTTCGACTGCCTCAACCAATCCAGCCCTTCCGATGACTATTCATGCATCCATGGTGGCTGATCCATGCAGCCATGGTGATGAAATTAAAATCCCGTTTGGTTGCTAAAAAGAAATGGATTGAAAAAATAAAATTAAAAATAAGATGATAAAAAAAATAGTTAACCACATTTATAAAGGAGAGGATAATTTAATTCATGTAATTAGGTATCATGATTTATAAATTTTTTTAAAGGTGTGATGATTTTTACATTTGTATTATATATTAATGAGTTTTATTATACTTATTATGAAGAGAAAGATTGATTTAGTTTATTTTGTATTGATTTTTTCAATATATTATACTTCATTCTTTTTCAATAATCAAATGAGATCTAGAGTCTGTTTGGTTCGAGGGGAGGAAAAGGAAGGGGAGGGGAGGTGAGAGGAGCGGAGGGAAGGGAGGGAGAGGGGGAAGAGGGGGAGGGGAGGAGAGGAAAACTCCCCCCCAATTTAGAGGGGAGGGGAGGGAAAATTTTTAAAAATTTCCCCTCCCCTCCTCCTAACCAAATGAGGGGAGGGAGAGGAGCCCCTCCCCTCCCCCCCAATCAAATAGGGCCCTAAAGTTTCGCTCATGAAGAGCAAAACTATCACACATAAGGTGGTTGCACTTTTGGATTCCTTTGACCACTATCTATCTACCATGAAACTACCAAACATTCAATCCAGGTTCATATTGATCCTCATTCTTGCTCTTTTTTAAAAAAAAAAATTTTGCTAAAATTTAACTATCAATTTACAAAAGAAATTTACCAAATCCATACATCCCAATTTGTTACTAATTATCCTTCATATATTAACAAGTAAAAGTTACTACAATGATAAGTTAAAATTGATATTCTAATATTGAACATATTGGTACAGTCCAGTTTTGGCAACACTGCTCATTACTCATTGGTATACATGTGCATTACAAGCCTAGAGCTTCTTCAAATTTGTGGGAGGCATTATATTTAAATGCCAAACATCCATCTCAAGCATATATCTTAACATTTAATTATAAATATCAACATTTGAAAAGCAGCTTCACAAGAGATGTGAAAGTTCTATGAACGTCACAACACTTCATATAATCATCATAAGAAAGTAGAAACACAGCTAAAATTAACCTCTCATTGTCAGAAAATAATGAAATGCACCCAAGTGAAGCTATCAAAGATTTAAAAGCTAAAGAATACGTACGATGTACGAAAACCATTATACATTAACACAAACTAACAGTCAATCAATAGGTATATATAAAGTATTACTCGAACCTCGCTTATGGTAGACAAGATTGATAGATTGTCCAAGTAACATACATGGATCTAAAAATTGAAGCCATGTTTTCCCAGCTTCTCTTGAGTAATAAGATCAAGACGCTTGATCATGTTAGATGTGAGGAAATTCTCCCAATCTCCAACTTGTCCACGTCTGAAGTAAGCCTTAGTCTCTATTCCAAGCCACACTTTTCCACTCTTGTTAACCTCCAAATTGCTCAAATTCTCAAAACCACAAAGGTTCAATATATTTTCTATAATATTGTCATTCTCTTCCTCCTTAGAAAAACCATAGCCTGTAAACTCTGCAAGGTCCTTCAAAACATTGACCGGGTCACCCTTCAAATCCTCGAACCTCAAAATCATTCTCTTCTCTGGCCTCTCTAAGCTCTCCTTGTAGTATCCCAAAATTTGTTCCCAAAATGGCCCACAAACTGTCTTTCCCTGACAAAACTTTTCAAATGAATGCTCGATGCTAATCAACCCTTGACTTTCTGGTCTTAACTTGTTTGCAAATTGCCACATGGAGACAAACTGGTCCTTAGGATTTCTACACAAGTAGACAATCTTACACCTTGACTGCTCCACGGACTCTGGCAATAAAATGTATGGGAGATGGGTTGCAAAAAGCCTCGGTGATGGGAAAGATCTCAAGTCAGGCATGGCGGTCTGGAAGTACAAGACGGTTTCTAAGGAGGGACGAGATCATGAGGATTTGTAGTGAGAAGAGGATGAAAGTGTTGGGTTTGGGTCGGGTCTGGTTGTGGGTTTGGATAATGGGTCGTGCGATTGAGAATGGTGAAAATAAGGGCTTTGAGCCAGGTGGTACCAGCTTTTGGAGAGGTTACAAGGAGGATGTCAAGAGTCCTGACATTGAAAGTGGTTTTGACAATTAAGAGTTCCTTGCAATTGCGTTGTGGTGAACCAAAAACCATTGTATTGATAAAGATGGTTGTTGATCCAACCCAGTTCTGTGGGCAAGGTAGCAATGAGATCTTTTTGTTCCTGGGAAAGTTGTTCGTCTTCCATGAGGTACTTGGGAAGAGCAGGCACATCATCGGATTTTGAGTTTTTTGCTACCATTGTTACAGTCCGAGAAGAATAGAGAGAATAATCGGATAGATGATGAAGTGAATAAGGCTGAGATTGTTAATCAATCCAACAAAGTGTGATATTGGAAGATATCAAATCTCATCTCAATAATTCCGAATAATCAAATCAAATGTAAAAAGACGAAAGGAATGAAAACGGATGGCAAAAAGACAACCAAGTCCTTATCAAAATCAAATCTCTTCTCCAGTCTGCAAAATGATACTGATACGCAATGTCCAAGATCTTTAAATATCAAAATAAAAAGTAAAAATAATAGTTAACTCTCAAAATAATAAATTAATATTAGTGAAGTATTTGATAAAAAATTTTTAAAAATAAATTAAAAATATTAATTCAAATTATTATAAATCTTAGAGTTTACAGATGAGTATTTAAATATTAAATGTAACTTTTAGATTGCAACTTAAATTTTTATTATAACCATTTAAATTGATATTTATAATTTATTTTGTAAAAAAATTTGTCAGAAACTTAATTGATATTAATTCACTGTTTGGGACTTAACCGAGATTCTTCCGAATAGAAAAAGCCTTGCATGTGAAACAATCAGCAACACAATTTTATTATAAATTTGGAAGGTAAATTATGACTATTAAACAATCAAGTTATAGTTTTTTTTTTAGAAAAAAGATATACATTATCTAAAATCCAATTTTTCACGTGTAAAATTGAATTAGAAATTGCATGCTTAGTTGGTGAATTAACTAAACACGCGCCCACACAAAAACAAATAGTAGCTGATGATTGAAGTGATCGTATAATTAATTAGTTATATCCACATATTAGACATTTTATTTGATCTGTTTTCTGATCGAATGAAAATGCGTTCAAATACAATTCACATAAATAGTGTCCAAGCAGTGAAAATCCCATAAAAGTTAAATCGAATAATTTTTGGGTGGAAACAAATAGGAATTTTTTTGGGAGGAAGTGAAATATGCATATAACTATGCACAATTTTTTAAAACAAATAACATATATATAATATTACCTCTTTGTTACAGTACTGATGTCATAGCCCCAAATTTTAAATTATGTGAAAAAAATTTCTCCCAAATGATATTTATTTAAATTAGTGTTATAATAAATTGAAAGTGATAGTTTAGTAGAATTTATGTTAGTAACTTTTTTTAAAAGTTCAGAGTTTGAATTTTATTAAAAAAATTTGGTTTTATTTATTTTTTAATTATAGAAATTTTTTTGCCTTTTTTATAATTTTTCCTTAGGCTTTTTTGTAACTTTTCCAATTATCTTTTTGAGTTAGATTTTTACTCTCCTCTCCTATTCGAACTTCACGAAACAGAGCATCTCATGTTTTTCTCTTCTTTCTCTCCGCCACCAATGTACCTCTCTGGTTCTTCACCATCAGCCCATTCTTCTAGTTCTCCTCATTGGCTCTAGCTGCTCACTGTCGGTTTATGCTCCTTTTCGCAGTCGCATCTCTGCCTTGGAGTCATTAGACTTTTTTTTCCTTTTCCTTCTTTTACTTGAACGACAGAACCTGTGAAAGTGACAGAGAGTGTCCATAATTTTCCCTTCTCTTCACCGTAGATTTGCTTCTCTGTACCTCACTGTTGACTTCCCTCTTTGCCAACGTATTCGTCCACTACTCTTCTCTTCGTTCATGTTGCCGGCTGTTGTGGGGATGGAGTTACCGAATACTCCTCCCCGATCGTTCTCCTCTGCTCTTTTCCTAATTTGTGTTGGCGTGTGCATGTGTGTCATCTTCAACTTATCTTCCTCCTCAGTTCTGGCCATCGTGCATGCATGTGGTAAGCTTCTTATTCTCTTCTCTTTTGATCAAAGATTTTGCCTCTCTTTTTGTTTTATGGCTACCATGAGTTCTTCAGAAATTGATTGGCTGAATTGACTTGGTTGTTGCTGTACATAATTTTATTGGGGTGCCAAACTGAATATTGACGATAAAGTTAACATGGGAAGATGATTAAATTATTGGAGTCTTGTTGAGGAATGAACTTTAATGAATGCTCTTTCGGTGTTCGTCAAAATGTTTGAGAGAAGAATATAGTGAATGAATGTTATTAAATTTCCATGTTTATCTTGGAGGAGCATGTGTAAGTATAATACTTATTGGAAATTTCAAGATTTTTGCTTGTTGATTTTAAGTTCTTGTCAAATGTGATTCAAAGGCTTGATTAGGATTTGGTTTACAATGTTTTGTATTACTGCTGACACTTGAGTAATGTAGGGGAATTTGACTTAGGAATAAAATGTTAAGGAAAAATTGGTATTGATGAAATTTCGATTTGTAATGAATATATATGAATGCTACCAAGATTTTTTTCTTAATGCTGAGTAATGTTTTGACAGATTAAAATAATTAAATTTTGAATTCATTGGCAAGAAGGAGGAAATTTATATTCTAGTTTAAAAGTTTATGTTGATGTTGAAAAAATTTGAAGAAATTACATTTGAGCTTGAAAGTGAGGTTATCTATTTTACATTACGATGCTTGTTTTTTAACTTAAATTGGAATGTAGATGGAGTATTTGTTGAAATACTTAATGATGGAATTGGAATTGTATTGGGGGAACTATTAGAAATCTTACTTGATGCTCGTTGTAAATTGAATCTTGATGCACTCAAGATGTTAGTTGAAATATTTGAAAAAGAAAAGATTAAAGAAACTTATGATTTGTATCATATTGCAAGGTTTTAAGAAAATATTTATTTAACTTGGTTTATTATGTTTTATATTAAATAAAATTATAGAGGTTGGATTTGCTGGTTGAAATTCCTCTTCTTTGTTAAAGTGATGAGTCACTTAAATTTGTTGCTCGGTCAATACATGGCTAAGTAAATATTATGTCTTTAGAATCAAGATTCTTTAGATTCTATAAAATTAATTGAGAATTACATAGCCAATGAATTATTATAGTTATTATAATCAAATTTAAAAATTTTGAAAGAGATAATGGTTTAAGATAGTTGAATTAAAAACAAATAAGATTTTTGAAAAATCTTGTGGATAGTTAAATTAAAGCACAAATAGATAAAGTTGTAGCATGGAAAGTTTAGTATTAGCTTGTTAGTTTATTTGATTATGTGATTACCTAGCGACACTATCAAAGTATAAGTTAGAAGCTTATAAAGGAGAAAGCTATGATAAAGATACTTGAAAATGTGTAAGGTGAATGGGTAGTATTCCGAATAAATTTCTTATAAATGTTTATAAAATTTTGTTTACTTAAAGTTTAATATTGTTTCATTATAAGTTATGTAAACATTCTCGTCAATTCTATTTTTTTATAATAATTATTTTATTAATATTAATATCTTGATTTTACTGATGATTTATATTTTTGATAAGAAATGATTGAAGTTGATATATGATAAACTATTTTACTTTTCAAAAACAACTTAATTGTTTAATTCTATGTTTGATATGCAAAATTTTTATATAACAACTTGTGCATGGAGGATATAAAAATGAGTATGAGAATAAAAGATGACAATTAAATTGTATATTATGCAATGAAAAATTTGAAATTATTTTCCAACTCCATGCACGCTTGATTTTAATTAAGTTTCGGTGCGTCATGATACAACTAGCTAACTTAGTACTTAGGAGGTGTCAGCCTTGTGCGACAGCCAACGCATGTGAAATGAAAGAATGGTGATTTGTGAGTATAGTACTCACACTTGTTTTTTTAAGCCTTGTGCCTACGCTTGATTTTCATGGATTTTATACTCGTGCTTCTTTTCATGGCTTTGAGCCATACTCACTTGTTACTTATCCTTGTAAATTGTATGTTTACACTTTTTTATCATTCTGATAAGGTCCCACTAAAATGTGAAATTTTGAAACTTATAATTTTAAATTTATTCAATTAAACAAACTATTGTTTGATTGTAAATGATTTTATATGGTACATTTCCACCTAGCCTGGAATTAAAATTTACTATTTTATATTAATTAATTACAAACATTTTTCTTGATTATATTATTATATGAATTTCTTTTATATATTTTTATGAGTTGTACAATTCTTAATAACTTATAAAATTTTAAAATTATTAGTTTATTTTATAGCTATATTATTGAGCAACTTTGTCATTTATTGTTAGTTAAAATATATATTTTAACGTTTCATTGATTTGTTTTAAACTAAATTTTATTAATGACTACTTTTACATATTTTATCTAAACTTTTAATTGGGACACTACTTATTAAAAAAATTTTTTTTAATCTCAGATATTGAAGTTGATACTATGCCTACTACTAATCATTAGGGGGCACAAATGCTTTTTGGAATGTGGAAGCACACATTGACCATTTATATTGATGTAATTACTTATTATATTATGCAATTATAATTTAGTGCTTCACATATACCGTATCTTACTGTTGTGAAATTTGCTAGTGTGGAGCTAAACTTCTTTTTGGCTTGGCTAATAGGTTTTACCATTATAAAAATTTCAAGGGGTTCTAATTACAGGAAAAATTTTATCGAAATTTTTACAAAATAGTTAAAACTTTACTAATTTTAAATTTAAACATAAATTATATGTCATTATCTTGAATTAATTTTTTTAATTAATTAAGATTTATGAAATATAAATTTATTTTATATTCTATATTGATTACACCCTCAGGATTGAGGTGTAACAACTGAGAGCAGTGCCCAATAATGATGCTTGTGGTTGGGGTCTTGAATGTCTCTTACTCCTGTATAATAGTATTTTTAATGCAGCTAAAAATCATTTTTTACAGCAGCTCAAATATCAATGTAGCTACAGACACGATAAAAAATTCAATTTTAGAAATATGAACAGGCTTTTGACAAACAAACAAACAAATATGAACAGACTACATAAACTAAAAGTATACCTCGGTTTAATATTTAATCTGACTTTAAAAATATTGATCAGAAGTAAAGATTCTCTCTTATTTGGTTCCAAGGATAGTCAGGAAAAACTGACTTGTTCATCCCAATGAGAAATTTGATCCCCGTGGCTCATAGTTGATTGATATATG